GAAATTTAATCGTTTTGGAACGAAAAATGGACCCGAATAAAGAAGGACACTTGACGCGATGAGGACCAAGTCTTTAAAACTATAAATAGGGATAAAATATCTGAAATATCAGCTTTTTCCTCCCCTATGGCCGGCTGTATCAGAGATTAAGAGAGAAAAGAGAGCAAAGAGGGAAAAACCAAAAATCTTAAGCCTTCTCCTTCGATTTCCCAAAGATCCGTCGGTCGGAATCGCTCGAACCAAGAATTAAAGTTGCTCTACGCGACGAGGGCTACGCGTGGGTACCAAGAACGAAGATTTTCACCGAAGATCAAAAGGCGAGATTTTAGAGGAATCAAAGTCTTGAGCTTTTGGGGGTGTTCTTGGAGGTTCTAGTATTCATTTACGCTTCAAGAGGTAGGGTTTTTCTACTTTGGTTCATTCTAACCTATGGTATTCATAGGAGAGGGCTTTAAGCATGTGGGGTTGTATAGCCTTCACATGAGGTTGGTGTTTTGATGGATATGAGAAATAGATAGAATATACATTCTATCTTGAAGTGGTTTTGTTTCTTGAGATATGTGGTTATTTGGAATGGTTATGTGAATATATGACTTGAGTGCCTTTAAGGTGTTTGATAAAATGCCTTCGTGAAATAAAATGTGTTAATTGCGTGAGATTATGCTATAACATACTTGGATAATGTGGTAATGTGAAATCATATGCTTATGATATGATTCATGATTGAAATGTACTTGTTGATATATGCATGTTTTGATATATATTGACATTGTGACAAATATGATATTTATATGCTTAGGATATAATTTACTGTGGATGTGTTAAAAATTATTCATATGTCATTCATAGCATATTGAATATTATGTTGTTGTGCAACGGTGCATCACATTGCATATGTACGGAAACAGGACATCACATTCATGGGCATGAGTCATGAGTGTGGCTGTGTGAATGCATGATTAATCAAACACCATTCTTGGTGATTGATGGGTGGACTCAGAAAAGTTGGGTTAAAAATCCGAATGAGTCACATGATTGCATAAAAGAAAAACTTGTGTCGGGTATAGCAAGAAGGGGTAGATTACCCCATCGGGTACAAGACCCGGCGACTTGGTTATACACTCTCCTGTAGTGAAATTATGGAAAAGTTTAGTATGGTGTACAGAACCGGCGGTATAAAATCTTAAATCCGTTGCCCAACAAGACACAAAATTTTGATTTACAAAGTACTCATACAATGAGTAACACCCATCAATGATTTGGTTTTATAATAAAATAACTTTTATTTCAAACGATCATTTGGTGGATTTTTTCGTCAATTGACGGATTCAGTATACCTTGGCATTGCATTGTGTTGTGGGAATTGGTGATGACTTAGGTTTAAGTGCATGAGTGAGTATAATCTCATTTCATAGCATGACATGATTGCATTCCACATTTAATGCATATTCTTATATGGAATGATTATTAAATGTTGTTTGTTACTTATACACACCACATATGCATCTAAGGTGGAGAGTAGCGTCTGTAGGGATTATTCTATTGGGCGTTGGCTCACCCTGTATGGAAAAACATTTCAGGTGAGAGAGATACACCGGTGGATGGCTCCACTTTGGACCCTCATGTTTGAAGAAAGCCGAATGTGGCTTTATTTTATGTTAATGTAAAATATTTGTGGAAATAATATTTTTGGCATGTAATCTTTTACAAATAATTGTAATAGAACTTATATAGACTATTATTAAACTAACCTTGCATGTGTTGATATAAATATGGATAATTGGACCCCGGTGTAACCAATGTTTTTTTATAATTGCACCCGGTGTGGTCATTGTTGAATATTGGACCTCTGATGGGTCTTGTTATTATATGATTGCACAGGTTGAGTTTTGAGTAGAGTTTCTCGTACAAAGGAGACTCTATCCGAATTTCATCAAAATTATAGTTCCCGATAAATTGAGCATAATGGTGTGATATCGAATTACTCGGTATATATATATATATATATAAATACTTATGTATATATGTATATACTTGTTAAATCTCTTATCTAAAATTTGAATTATCTTTTAATGCACCTTAATTCATGCATTTTTTTTTTAGAAAGTGGTTTTATTTTCAAATTAATTTAATATCCGAATAGTGTAATAGTGTAACAATAACAATGTAACAATAACAGTGTAACAGTATAACAATAATAGTATAACAAGTTATTTACACAAAATATTATACTATTACATTTTGTCAAACATATAGTTCCATATAATTTCATTCAAAATAGTCCATCTCTATTTTGAATTTGTTACCATATATATAAAACTACTGAACACTGGTTTTGTTACAGTGTATTTGTTACACTGTTTTTGTTACAATCTTTTTGTTACACTGTTATTATTATATTATTATATTATTCGGATATCAAATTAATTTAAAAATAAAACTATTTTCCAAAAAAAAATAAATAAACGCTTGAATCAAGGTGCATTAAATATAATTTGAAAATAAAATTACTTTTAAAAAAAAATACACATGAATCGAGGTGCATTTCAAAATTAAATAAGAGAATTAACAAACAATATATATATATATATATATATATATATATATATATATATATATTCGAATATAATATATACATGTATTAACAAATACACATGACTTAAAGTGCATTAAATACGTATTTATATGTATTAACAAACATACATGAATCAATGTGAATTAAAGATAAGAGATTTTGAATTAAATGACCCTAAAATGAGCATTTAATTCTTTTTAACGCACATTTTATTGTATGTACTTTTTGTCAAATAAGTCTAATTAGGTGTACCGGCTTCCAAAGAACCACTTAGAAAATATACCCACACCCAATTTTTTCATTTAATAGTTGGTCGATCCAAGGGCTATGTGCCAATAATTCAGAAGAAATTAATATCTTTTGGGCTTGGGCAAGCATGTCAGGCTAGCCCATCGTGTCATCCAACATAAAATTTCTCCGCCGAGCAACTGGGTGTACCAAGGCCCTGTCGCATGGCAGTCCAGATTGTTCATTGGCTTGGTTCATTATCGGGCCTTGGGCCTTTGACTGACCTTTTAGTGCCACGGAAGATCATATGTCATCTTATCGGTCTACTAGTTTAATTTGTTTTATTTTAGGACTAGTACATCGTGTTATTACCCTAATGTTCTATTTGGTACGATAAAAAAGTGGGAGGATGAAAAGTTGAAAGGATAGAAAGTTGGAGGGATAAATAAAACATCATGTTTGGTAAGGAAGGAAAGTAGGAAAGATGAAAAAGTTGATGGATTAACTTTTCTTCCAACTCACCAAAATTAATCCCTCTAAAATCGAAAGGAAAGTGGATGAAAAATTAATTATTTGTTTTGAAATGTATCTTATTTGTCTATATATCTTTTTATATATACATATATTGTGTATACATTAATTTTATATAAAAATACAATGATAAAATTTGTATATATATAATATATACATATATATTAAAAAAAATTAAAAATTAAATTAAAAAAAATATTTTTTCCATCTTAACTAAGGGTGAAAATTTTCGACTCAACACGATGACAAGACTCGAACTCGATACGAAAATAAATAGGTCAACTCGTAATTCGACATGACACAATTAGTTAAATGAATTAAATTAGGTTTGACTAATATTTGTCACAAACCCATAATGACTCAACACAAATCTGACACGACACTATTCGATTTGATTCGATTATCACCCCTAATTTTAGCCAGCACAAAAAAAAAGAAGTTATTTTTATTTTCCATTCATCTAATCAAACACAAAAGAAGGAAAGTGTATTCTTTTTACTTTCTATCCTTGAAAGATGGAAAAGTGTATTCCTTCTATTTTTCATCCTTCTACTTTCCATCCTCCCTACCAAACGGAGCATAAGTGATAGTCTGATAGAGATAGAGATGAATTATAAATCACTGAATTTGAAACTTGACAACTCCTTAAACGTCAGGCCATAAGATATTTATTCTTCATAAATTCCCTAAGTTTAGTGTGGATGATCTACACTTGACTAGATCAAATAAAAAATTAATCAATGTACGCATAAACTAGTCCAAAGACTCCTGACTATAATCCCCAAGAAAATAGATCGTGTTATAGTACAATATCAAGTAGACAAAGACCACCCCAAATTAAATAGCAAATAATGATCAAAATATCACCTTCTTTACTTAAATTTTCTCAGGATTATTATCACATTTTTACGATGAACATAAATTTTGGTTTTGCTTTGATTTTGATTTTTTACAGGACGTGATCTGCTAGACCAACTAGTCATGGACACATGGAACCTACTACCTCGTTCCACTAGAAGATTGATGATTGCAAAGGTATAGTGTCTGGAACGGAGGGCATGCTCGGTCTCGAAAATATACCCCAAGTGTCTTAACGACTCACAGAAGTCTACCCACGCCGAGCAAAGGATAAGAAATGAGTCGACACCCCTCGGTATATTGATGACCAGCGCCTCTATGTGATTTGGCGCTATTGACTTGGTGTAACTCGGTCCTGAGTATGATGACACTAAGGAAATAGTAATGACAAGAGCCGAGGAGACGCTCTCAGTTTATGACCATGTGTAAACTCTCACATCAAGACGACCTTGGGAGACATGTCTACCTGGGAATAATTGAAGGAATGTCTTTTGGAGATTGTACTCGATTGACCAACAGGCGTGGTTTCATCTCCCCAGAAAGTCAAAAAGAACATAAAAGAATATTGCAACCAATCATGTTTAAGTGTTCATAAATGTTTAACAAACCCTCGGCCCCGAGACTTCGATGATAAATGAATGTTCTTCATAAGCACGTGTTTGTATCTAAAAAAAAGTGAACTCTTGGGGAAGCAAAGGCGAAGGACATTAAATGAGCATTAAGTGATCGGCATAAGACAATACGCTGAGTGTTTAATGTCATTAATACAATCTCATATGCTCATGTATTAAGGATCGAGGCGAAACAGATGCTTTGTTTGAGACGTGTCCACCTGATTAGACTAAAGGAAGATTCCAAGTGTCTTTGGTATGGACCAATCGGATGTCCTCTCGCAAACGTGGTGACCTGGATGACCTGGTATGATTTAGCCACTCTCATACAAGGTACAAATATGAGACTAATCCGAGAAGTAAAGGTACACAACTTGAACCCAGCTGGTCCCTTCTCAAAAACTGACTTTAGCATCAAAGTGGAAATGCTGAAGAAACCTTCGACATCCCTTCTAACCTTTCTTTGTGAGAGATAGATCGCCAGACTCAAATAACCCAAAGTCTTTGTTCAAGAGCAAACCAGAGTGCTGCTATCTTGGTATTATACGAGAAATCTCCCGCACATTTTTCTTTACTTCGATTATGGTTTTCAACACAATGAAGGTGCAATGATTTTCCTGGTGGTGTGTGTAGTGACAGTGGTGGTGTCTGCAGGTGTGGCATCATGAATGGCTGTGTGAAGGAGTATGCCATGGTGGTGGTGGTGACAATTGTGGTTCTGCAGTTGGTTGGTGGCTCTGTCGTAGTGGAGCCAATGGTTGAGAGTTGAGGGGACTTGGTGGGGGGTGGTGGAAGCTTAGTGCAAAATAAAGATAGACACCTATATGAAAGAAAATGGGAGGGTATTTTGGTAGTTTTACATTTTCTGCAACAGAAAGTTAGTTTAAAATTTATACAAAAAGCCTCAAGTGAAACTCATAAAAATTGAGAGTGATGATGTACAATTCAGCCTAAGTGCAAGAGGGTTCAGTGTATTTTAACCTTTTTGGTTATCTAAAAGGGTTATATAACCATGAAACAATTCTTTTATAATTCTCTTTTACATAGTTTTTTATGAAACGATGAGAATCTATAGCGTTTCATGTTCCCTCCCTACTGAGTAAATATTTTATGATGTTAATTATCATTGGGACGTGCCCTTAGCATTCAATAGTAAAGTAAAACATGAGCAAAGCGAATCACACAAAAATGTGATAACTATCACATCTGCCCTAGTCTAATAACTTCTTTCATATACTTGTGGGGGTTTCTTTTGTTCATATATTTGTTTATCATTAAACGACAATGTGACGGTAATTACGTGATATATCGTTGTGTTAACACTCTATGTACAATCAAAATAATGAAAAGAGATACTAATAAAACACATACAACAATGGATTCATGGACCCTTATGATGTAATTTATTATAGCTTTTGGATGATAGGGACAAACCCCCGGCTCAAATGCCTTTGTCACCGCAAAGAAAAATCTCAAACTCCACCCCAGCAAGGAAATAAGTGAGCCTACATCCTTAAAGAATTCTAGACTAAGAGTCTCGATTGATACATATCACAAACTCTCTCCAAAAAAGTCGGAGTCCGGTAGTTATTAAAAGGTATATGAAGGGGTTAAACCTCATGATTACACGTGACATGACATTAAATGTGCTCACGTAATATTGACAAGACAAGGCGCGTGATGAAAAATCATTTATTAAGCTTTTTAACCAAGTCGAGCTAATTAGAGGTTCGGCAATGGCAAAAAAAGTTCTATTTTTTTATGACCAAACTCATCAGTCTGTTCAGCTAAGCAATGAAAGAACTCAGCTTGTATAAAACCGAGTTCGTTAAAGTGTTCAACAAGGCAATTGAAGAGATCGGTTTGTGCCAAACCAAGTCCCTTAATTTGTTCGGCAAATATCAAGTGTGCTCGGCATTTGATATGACCGAGTTGTTTTAAATAATAAACAGAAGGATAAATATTCTCCTATAACTTAGGCAATCAGATAAGCAAATCAGAGAAATTGAAGATATCAGGCAAAAAATAAGGGAGAAATATCAGCAACTTCCCAATTGAATCACTGAATTGAAGAAAGGTGTGTCACATTGAATCAAGAATCACGGAAACCCTAAGGGGATGACCATCTATAAAAAGCAAAAGGAGTCAAGAAGAAAGGTACGCTGAACTCTCTTAGTCTTCTTCCATTCGTTTCATTATCTCTACTGACTTAAGCATCGGAGTGCCTTCGATCGAAGCACTTCGATCTTGGGCAATTTGTTCATTTTGCAAGAAGAGGAAGACTGAGAGATCAAGTTCAGAAACACATTAATATTTCAATTCCAGTAGGAGATAATCTCGATTTTTTGTCTCTTATAGTATATGTTAGAGTATTTTAAACAAAAGAGTGTTTTTTATGTGAGAACTCAATTCCACATCGACTAAATTTCTAAAAGTACTTGAGTATATATATATACTAGTATTATTTGACATTTGAGTTAAAGTGAGACATTGGGACTCTCACGTGTGCAGGTGTGAGACAAGCGAAGGAGATACGGATTTTTATAATTTATATAGCAAACTTTTTTGTATATATATATTTACATCTTTCAGTATGGAGATAAATAATCTGAATATCTACTACAATCTCTCTATTACTTAAGTTTCTGGGCAATATTCAAAGATGGCGCGTGAAGTTTCTGCTTTATTTGATTGTACAGATCTGAGTGAAACAACAATCAATAGGTTGGGCTGTTGTATCCTAGGGACGATGCGTTGTTAACTTCTGCGATGTATTTCTTTCATAAATGAGCACGAATAGTCTTAAGAAAACGACATAATCCGCACCTCACCCTACCGTTCACTTTATTTTGGGATTCCATTTTTCTAACAGTGTAGATAGGAGAATTGAAAGAATGAGTCTTGCAGCTTTGGCCTTTGCAGTGTTCATTAAGCTATTGCTAGGTCAATATGTTTGTGGTTGGGTTTGATTAGGTATATGATTACTTATATATGGGCAACATTACGGCCTACGCCTACCAAACTCGATACACATTTCTAAGTTCTGTGCAATGGTGGTCAGTTTTACATATTATAGTAACACAATAAAAAAACTGCAGATCTGTAAGTTAGAGTAGGAAGATAATGAGGCCACCAACATCAGCTCTGCCTGGTCAACATTTAGTTCACCTGAAACAAAAAATCCCACAAGCAATCTCTTTTTTTCTCTCCTGTTTTCTTGAAATTTTTCCCACTTTCCAAACACACTAAAATATCTTCTGTTTCTTCAAAATCTTCTTTCTTTGTAGAAGAAGAAACAGCAGATTTTTTCCATTTTCCAAACTCCACCCAAAGTCTAGTTTCTTCCCAGAATAAACAATTTACAAAGCTTAAGTCAAGACCAGTGCCAAACTTCAAAGCCGTTGCAACCCATTATTTATTGGGTTTGGAACATAGCTAGGATAAAAATAGCAAAGTTTGGTGTGTCTGCTCATCTCCTCTTTCCTTTTTCTCCCACCTTCAACATATCTCCTTTCCTCCAACTCTCACCCTCCTCCCTCTCTTCACCTCTCTCTAATGGAATTACCAGCCAAGGGGCCAGTATCCGGCCACCGGAAACCGCCATATCGAATAGAAACCAAAAACTTGTCCTACAAACTTCAGTTGGGTTTTGAATTTAATTGGGTTTTTTGTTGGAACACACTCAACCAAGCCACCACATACATTTTGAAGGACGTGAATTGTGAAGCTAGGCCTGGGGAGATCACGGCCATAGCCGGTCCAAGCGGAGCCGGAAAAACAACATTGCTAGAAATTCTTGCCGGGAAGATATCATCAAGTAGAGTATCTGGCCAAGTACTCGTGAACAGTCGTCCCATAAACGCTAAACATTTTCGGAGACTGTCTGGTTATGTAAGCCAAGAAGATGCTCTATTCCAATTACTAACTGTTGAAGAGACACTCATGTATAGTGCTCTTCTCAGGCTTCGCGGTGGCCGGAAAGAGGCTGCATATAGAGTGAGAGTGCTGATGAAGGAGCTGGGACTGGACCATGTAGCTGATTCAAGGATAGGTGAAGGATCAAGCCATGGCATTTCTGGGGGCGAAAGGCGAAGGGTCTCCATTGGAGTTGAATTAGTACACGACCCATTGGTCATTTTGATCGATGAACCCACTTCAGGGTTGGATTCAGCATCAGCTCTTGATGTGATCTCACTACTGAAATCAATGGTGGTTCATCAAGGGAAGACAATTGTGTTAACTATTCATCAACCCGGGTTCCGAATCCTGGAACTGTTTGATCGGCTTGTTCTGCTTTCAAATGGTTGTGTCCTTCACAATGGTTCAATGAAACTACTTGAAGATAGGCTTAAGCTTTCTGGCCATTTCATTCCTCGAAACATCAATGTGCTCGAATTCGCCATTGATGTCACCTGCACTTTGGTCATACAAACTTCTGAAACTCTTAACAACCGATTCTTAATCAAAGATCATAGATATGATCATGATTTGAGAATTTTCCAGAACAATGAGATTGGAGAAGACTCTCTCTCCTACCAGAATTCTGTATTCAAGGAGGTTTTAATACTTGGACAGAGATTTTGCAAGAACATATTAAGAACCAAACAACTATTCGCCACAAGAATCATCCAAGCCTTGGTAGCTGGACTAGTACTCGGGTCCATTTTCATGAATGTTGGCAATGATCTAGGTCAGGTGGCTCTACAAACCCAAAGCGGGTTTTTCGCATTTAGTCTCACTTTCTTGTTATCCTCAACAACAGAAGGCCTACCAATTTTCCTGCAAGAGAGAAGAATTTTCATGAGAGAGACTTCAAGAGGAGCATATAGAGTATCTTCTTATGTTATAGCAAACACCCTTGTCTTCCTTCCTTTTCTCTTAATGGTTGGTCTTCTGTACACCACCCCGGTGTACTGGATGGTAGGTCTCAAGCACAACATCTATGCCTTCCTCTACTTTGCCCTGGTGGTTTGGATGGTTGTGTTGATGTCAAATTCTTTTACGGCATGTTTCAGTGCCCTCGTGCCGAACTTCATCATGGGGACTTCTGTCATTGCGGGGTTGATGGGGTCTTTCTTCCTCTTTTCCGGTTACTTTATCATGAAGGAGAACATACCAAATTACTGGATTTTCATGCATTACTTGAGTCTGTTCAAGTACCCTTTTGAATGTTTCATGATCAATGAGTATGGAGGGGACGAAGGTAGGAGGAGATGTTTAGAAAGTGAAGGAGCTGAATGCAAGTTATATGGGGCTGGGTTTTTGAAGCAGCAGGGGTTTATAGAGTCACAGAAATGGAGCAATTTAGCTGTTATGTTGGGTTTCATCATAGGATATAGAGTTCTTTGTTTTCTGATTTTATGGTGCAGAGGCAACAGAACCAGAAATTAGTACGATCGTTTTTTTTTTTCATTTACGGTTTTTTTTTTCTCTGATTTGGTGGCCGAAGTGATGGAATATACAGAAAGAAGAATTATTCATTCTTTCATGAATATGTATAACAATATTTTTGCATTACGAATCTAGAATTATGACAGGTGCCTATTCACTGAAATACCAACTCGAGATTTCCAATCCGAGAATCAACCTCCCTAATGGGAGTAAGATTGTCTATTACTTAGTTTCTTAGACCTCGCTGTAGCTTAGAGCCTGCAATGATTTTGTGCTAATACAGGTGATATTTTCGATCAGAAGTATGAGATACACAACAAATTCATATTGCACAATCACAAAACTCATTCACTTATTTATAAACGACTGCAAATGACCACAAACTGGCTTATATGCTAATATATGAACTAAGCTTTCCAATATTTCTTCCTCTAGTAAGTTTCGTAGTAGTTCAGGGGAGTGGGGAGTGCACGTAGTGAGCTCTATGGACGTACAAAAACCATCGTTTTTGCAAGCTCTATTGCGTTCTTCCGCCCGAACAGCTTCTCTGTGATTGCCAGTGCAAACTCCATGGCTGTTCCTGGTCCTCTGCTAGTGATGAGATTGCCATCAACCACAACCCTGTTCTCTGCCTCACTTGGATCTGACAGCTTGTTGCACATTGCAGGAAAGGCTGTGGCCTTTTTGCCCTAAACCCAGAGCAAAACATTTTGTCAATTCGGAAAAATATTAAACTAAGAACAAACAAAATATATCACTCTCATACATAACTATTGGGTACATTTGATATGAAAATAAGGCATGGTCAATACCTTGAGTAACCCGTGTGGCTCCAGGACTAAAGCTGGTGATGCACATATTGCTCCATAGGGTCTATTTGATTCCCTTTGCTTCTTTAGCAAATTTACGAGTTTTACTGAGCTTGCAAATGCTTGGGCGCCACCAAGTCCACCCTGCAGATATATAGAATGTGATTATGACCAAAAGTTAGATAATGTCCTCTTTGGTTAGTCACGACTACTAATGAAGATA